GGTACTTGAGGCAGTATTCGCACAGGTAGAGGATGGGGAGTCCGGTGAGCTCCTGCGGGTACGGAGAGAAGTACCACGGCTTCAGCCTGTGCCGGCCCAGCTCGATGCACTCGATGTTCTTCATGCGTGTGACGATGTCATCGTGACTGCGGTCCGACACCAGACTGCCGGTCATGCGAGGGGCTGACGGGATGCCATCGGAGCTGTCCTGGGAATCCTGAGAGCAATCACAGACACTGTGCTACAGCAGTGCAGGACCTATGCATTTAGAACAGATCTCTATACTGCAAAGAGGCTTCACCCTCGGACTCATGCCAGCAAATACCAGGAATCTTTATTATTACTATTATTATTTCTGCATTTACAAGATCCAGAGGATTTTGAGCTAAAGCTGCACACTTTGTCTAGAAGCCCTATGCCTCCACTTGATCAGACACACAATAAAGGCAATGGGAAGAAAAGGAGCCGGACCTCTCCTGGCGGCATATAGATGGTGGAGCAGCGAGGGTCGCTATTCTGGAACACCTTTACCATCTAACAGAAAAACACAAGTGGATGCAAAGCTTTGGGACATTTTACTTGATATAGGGAATACTAAAGCAATAAGCCCCAAGAAGCCAGTGAATTATAACAGCTAGGGGGTGTTGTTAGGCACGACGTGAAGCGGAGTTAGCTGTTATAAATTCACTGTAAACCACGGCTTCATGGGGCTTACTGCTTTTATAAAACGGTTATTCCATATACGTAGTAAGGTTTCACAAAATAAAACAGCAAATAAAGTGTAATGATATTAATAAAAACAGTATTCTTCCACCAAACAATGTAGCTCCTCAGAAACAGTTGTGGTTGCAACAAAGTGGTTGCCGAGCAACACACAAACGTAAACAAAGGTGTATGTTACTTTGTAGCGTCATTTACAACAGCTTCTAACGCGGCTCAGCCAATCAGAATCAAGCACCGGAACTATCCGTTTTATAAAAAACATTTAAAACATTTGACGATTAAGGAACAATGTGACTCGCGGCATTTTTTTTACTGATTTTTTCACACATCTTTCCACATTCAACAGATTTATAGGAACAATGGGATGCGTGATGTTTGACTGTAAGAATGTATTCATGTTATAATCATAACATGGGATTCAATCATTTTTGATTTCATTTAAAAAGGTGCGAGAAAACATCTGTAAATAATCGAGTTGCTGGCCCTACCTCGTCTGTCCCTCCACAAGTTTTCCTTTTTCTTCCCGGCGGAGGAGGAATAAGTCGACGTGTGGTGCCATTCTTCCAGAAGAAAGAGCAAAGAATGAAATAACAAACTAATCTCTGAACATGTGTGTGAGCTGTGAGAGCTGTGAGAGCTGGTGTTTACTGTGCTGAGAGCGGCGAGCGGCTGGATGCTGAAGGACGAGTCTCTCAGGGCCGGATACACCGAGGCCTGGCTCTCCTCTGCAGAACTCAGGAGTGAAGGCCCTGGAGTCACTGCTGCGCTCACTTGTGTGGCCAAACACACAGACTCTGCTTTCCTCTTCTGAAACAGCCATCAGAAAGACGGACAACCTTTTCTCAGCACAGAACATGAAGCACAACATTCTTAAAATCAATTTAACATTTCTGAATGAAGTGTTGTTTGCCACTAAAGCTCGGCTGCTGTAGGCAGACACATACATATGAATAGTTTATTCACATATCTTTATTTCTTATTATCGGTTGCTGGCGTTGTCTCTGTCTATGTGCAAACAAACTTGGCATTAAAGCTCTTTCTGATTCTGATAATAATAATAAAATGAGTGAAATCCAGCCACTTACCTCGCATTATAAAACAGAGATAATGAGAGCGTTTGTAATGAGTGATGAGAATAAATGTGACCCTGGAGCACAAAACCAGTCATAAGGGTCAATTTTTCAAAATTGAGATTTATGCATCATAGCATAATTCTTAGCCATGCATATTACTAATCAAACATTAAGTTTTGATATATTTACGGTAGGAAATGCACAAAATATCTTCATCGAACATGATCTTTACTTAATATCCTAAAGATTTTTGGCATAAAAGAAAAATCTATAATTGTGACCCATACAATGTATTGTTGGTTATTGCTACAAATATACCCCAGCGACTTAAGACTGCTTTTGTGCTGCAGGGACACGTATTATGTTATGATAATTACAAAAATGCTTTCATATTCACTACCGGTCAAAATTATGGAATAAAGATTTTTACACATTTTTGAAAGACGTCTCTTATTATTAAAAAAATTATAAATATATAATTTAAAAAAAAATGAATTCCTGTGATGGCAGTCATCAGGTGACGTGATATTTCATAAATCAATATAATAGGCTGATCTGGAAGTCAAGAAATATTTCTTATTATCATCAAAGAAAGACTTTTATTCAGCAAGGATGCATTAAATTGATCAAAAGTGACAGCAAGACATTTTAGATTTAAATTTCAAATAAAAGCTGTTCTGAAAAAAAAAAGTTTTTTTTTTTTAATTGAGCACCAATAATAACTGATAATAACTGAGCAGCAAATCAGCATATTATTATGATTTCCGAAGATCATGTGACACTGAAGACTGTCGAGGCCGAGTAAAACTGAAGACAGAGCTTTCATTTCTTGGTGAACTAATCCTGTAACATTACACCACATTAAACGTTCGAGCTGCTCGCCAATCGAAGTACATCTAGCCCATTGATTAGCAGCTGACAGACTGAGTTTGTCCGAGCACAAGGAGCGGCTGGTCAGTACCGGTGTGGGGAGGGTCTTGCCTCTCGAAGGAGCCGAAGCAGCCTGAACGCCCAGCTCTAGACTCTTCCTCTGAATGCCAACAGAAAGGAAGAGAGGTTAGTAAAGGTTTACACGGCACACAGACAGCGAGCAGGAGAGGACCTCTCACCACATCTCTCTCTGGGGACCCGGGGACGGACCCCGGCAGGCCGTTCTTCGTCGGGGTCTTTGCCTCCTTTTTGGGAAACTGGAGCTTCTTCAAGTCCAGGCGGTCGGGAGTCACCCACTCGTCCAGTCGCTTATTGACTTTCACAAGGAAATAAATCAGATTTTCTTTAAAGTTAGAAACAAAACGTACATCAAACAGAATCATGTGGTAAACTGTGTTTGTGAGAGAAGTGAAGGATGCACGGTTAATACTCACAGTCTATATAGTGCACATAATAAAGCTTCCTCCCAGGGAGGTCTTTCACACTGAGGATCTCAGCCAACGCTGAGGAATAAACGGATAAATTAAACTTCAGATCTTCATTCGGTTCCAGTAAAGCATCACCGCACCTCCACACGCGTTAAAACAAGTGATCGACGTCCGACAGCGGTTAACGTGAGAAAGACAGTCGCAGGTTAAACTAACGAGCGACATTATTGTGTCTTTTGTTTACATTCGGCGCGGAGCTGCGGAGGATACTTACGCCACTCGTCTTCATTCTCCTGGTTTTTTCGCAGCACGGGAAGCCGGCAGCCTTCAATGATTTCGACCTGTGATGAGATAATGCCTTCATAAACCACAGCGACTAGCGTCAACAGAGCGAAAGCGGTTAAAAACAGCATAAAAGCAGGCAGACTGTGAGCAGCTTACCGAGGAGTCCGCCATCTTCCTCACGCTACGCAGCGCCTCCAGCGCACAGAACTGTGGGTAAAGAGCAGGGTTGCCAGGTTTTCACAACAAAACCCGCCCAATTGCTACTCAAAACTAACCCGATCTCGTTTCGAGGGGGATCCCCCGGTAAAAATCGCATTCCGGTGGGGTAAAATACACGATTTTGTTGGGGTTCCCTGGTAAAATTCGCATTTTAGGGCATAAATATCACGTTATTGGGGTCGCAACTGGAAAGGTGCATACCGCCACCTACTGTACTGGAGTGTGACGAAGATTCTTCTTCTTCTTCTTTTTAGTTTAGTTTTAGTGTACTTTCCACGTCAGTGTACCATCCGTCCATAAACTGTTATTGCCATGTCAATCAAGGCTGATAAGCACCATTTTTAAGTTTTTAAAACAAAATAATGATGACAAAATAATATAAAAAATAAATACATTTCTCAGGAAAACGAATCAAATCATGGCAAATGAAAGAGAATGACCAAATATGACTAACACATGCAGGCAGACACTTTGTGAAACCGGCAATCAAGCATTAAATAATCCAGGATGACAATGTGAAGATTCATTGGATCTTATTTGTGAAATAGTGTTTGGGTGAGCACGAGGGATCATTATGAACTGTCCAGCACAGAGTCCTGGAAGTCTGGGATGTGCTGGAGTCAACCTTACATTGCCTGTCCAAAAACATAAATAAATAAAAAGCTGTGCACTATGATATTTCATCGGAGCACTTTGATAGCATAGTTTCGACAATGTAACATCACAGCATTTATTTCCCTCAAGAGTCGCTCCATTCTGTAAAAGGACCTTCAGTGGTGTTAAGATCAGGACTCTGAGTCTGTGGTGGATCATTATTCCTCGCTCACCCAACCACTATTTCACAAACTGGGTCCAAACTTGGCACTGAAAAAAACCTGAAAAAGGGATGCTTTCTTTCTGAGAGGTTGCTGAGTATATGTGTGACCCTGGAGTGTTAAGTCGCTGGGGTATATTTGTAGCAATAGCCAACAATACATTGCATGGGTCACAATTATACATTTTTCTTTTATGCCAAAAATCATTAGGATATTAAGTAAAGATCATGTTCCATGAAGATATTTTGTACATTTCCTACCGTAAATATATCAAAACTTAATTTTTGATTAGTAATATGCATTGCTAAGAACTTCATTTGGACAACTTTAAAGATGATTTTCTCAATATTTAGATTTTTTTGCACCCTCAGATTCCAGATTTTCAAATATTGTCCTATCCTAACAAACCATACATCAATGGAAAGCTTGTTTATTCAGTTTCAGATGATGTTTAAATCTCAATTTCACAAAATGGACAATGATTAAATGATATAATTGCAATGATTTCACAAGAGTCTCACAAAAAAACAACAACTTCTGAGTAGGTGTCTATGTTTTTGCTATTTATGATTGCAATTGAAGTCTGCAGGATTAATTTTAGTGCACAGGATGCAGTTCTTCATACTCTGCTACACGCATTGCTTGTGAAACTTGCACGGTGGTTTCCTGCGACAAATGATGTCACCACCATGCATCCTTTTTAACGCTTGAGCTGCAAATCAAACAGTTTCCTCGCCTAGCAACACTGTATTTAACACAATACACTGTCATACTATATTAATACAACGCGAAACCTTGAACTCTGAAGTTAAGCAATAAGATGCATCAGAATTAAAGCAAAAGGCTGACAAGCTTTGACAGTAAAAATTAATAACTGCAAGACATGAATGATCAAAGCCAATTAAAACAAGAAGACAGAGAACTGCCACACTGCTAAATGTCAGAAAACGAAACACCTCAGGTCTCACAAGACAACATAGTGTTTTTCAAGGGAAGTACTCATGGATGGCCATATCTGTATGTGTATGCTTTTTAGGTTATGAATGAACACTCTTCAGTCCATAGGTGCACAGATGTGTATTTCTCTCAAAGCGCTTCATGGCCGCCTGTCAGTTTGTAAAACAGCTCCTCGTTCAGAGTGTTGCTCTGCTCCCGACCGCGCGTGGACATGAAGATGTAGCCGCCGATGTACTCGTGGACAATCTTACAATCTGCTGTCACACAGCTGAAGGCGATGTTCACATTGCCATCAAACTCGATGGCAACCTGGTACAGATACAGAAAGAATTTATTATTTTACGCAGAGGTATATATCACCGTGAGAGCTTGGGGAACCTGACAAATCTCACTGGCGTAGAACTAAAGACGGATGACCTGTTTGATGTCCCAGTTGACGTTCCACTGCCTCATGGTGTTGTATCTCCAGGTTTTCACAACATCTCCGACACTCAGGTCAATGCGGATTAGACGATTATTGGCAATGCCAAGCACCTCATCCTTGCGGCAACCCTTAAACCTGCAGGAATAATATGCATCGTTTCTGAGGTCACTTACAACCTTCTTAGATCACAGTTCACACTGAAAATCCCCAAAAGAAGAAGTTGCACTTGAAATACGCAGATGATGCACTTAAGTGTGGAATCAGACTCTGATGATGAATGACAAAATAACCTTATAAAACTGATTAGGTAAGTAGTGTCTAGTGCGTCATTTGGGTGTTAAACTTGTGTTTTATTGGTTTAGTTCCTGTTTTCTTTGTTTCTCTGTTGCCTTGCTTTGTGCCGCTGGGGTGTTCGAGAATGTGTCTAAAATCAAAACTGAGGAAATTTGAGGGACTCAAACACAACTATTAAAAAAGGTTCAAACATTCACTGATGCTCCAGAAGGAAAAACCATGCATTAAGAGTTCCAAATTCCAAAAAACTTTTGGAATTTGAAGATCAGGGTAACTGTTCAGAACAAACAAGGGACTCATGAACAACCATCACAACACAAAAAAACAGTCGTGGATCATCAGGTAACCACACACAGTATGAAGAACCAAGGGTTCACAAACTTTTGAACGGAGCTATTTTAATAATTTCAGCTATTTTCTTTTTATTGTGGACTAAATGTAAACATCTTTTATGTAAAATATCTTACTCAGGACAGTACTAAATAAAAAATAACATGCATTTTGTACGATCTCTCTTATTTTGTTAAAATTATTCACATTTTCACAGATTCTGCGAGGAGTTCCCAAACGTTCGCATGCCACTGCATGTGTATATAATATCAGGATCTGAACCTCATGCATAAAATGACACCACTAGACTATTAGTAACTTGCGCTCCACAGCTAACCGGAGCAGGTTATGTTCTGGTTTAGAGATCTCAAACCCAACTTTGGCACACCTCTGACACAATATAGCCACTCCCCTGCTTCTCCAGCTCCAAATTAATTGGTAGCAACATGGTTTGTCAACTCAAAACTAATCCTGTAACCCTGAGTTTGTTCAGCCATCACTATGGTACAGGCCCCTGGTGTTCGCTCCAAACCAAACTACAGGGCTCACCTGACTAAACTCACCTGACTACAATATAAGCGAGGCCGAAGTCAGGCAGAGCCTGCCAGATCTGAAGGAACCTCTGAACGGCGTCTGTTAATGAGAGCTGAGCTACGTTCTGATAGGCCTCCAGGATCCTCGGCGTGAGCTGAACAATTACAGAGAAGAAGACCGAAAAGCAGTGACACACTTTAATTTGAGAGTCCACTTTAAACTAACTATAACTACATGTCAACTAACTCCCATTAGAGGATTAGTAGACTGTTAGGTTAGAGTTAGGGTTAGTAGAATCAATTGACAGCTCTTAGCAGATATTAAACAGATACTCTAATGGCCGGCTGTTGACATGTAGTACTTATAGTCAGTAATGCAGTAATTAGCCAGTTCACAGATGTGCTACCTGCTTGGGTTTGTACTTCTTCTGGTAGCGTGGAGAGACGAGGCTGTGTGTATTGATGCTTTCATCCGTCTGAGCCGTGTTAGTGCTAGGTGTGGTTTTCTGCATGGCCAGGAACGACTGGATACTCTGCACCTCACTGGAGAAGGAGCTGTCCGCTAAAGTCTTGCCTTTGGAGGCCAAGCGGCACGCTGCCATCCACCGGCTGTACTGCTGTTCCTAGAACACGACCGAGACACAACACTGTACATACTTCTACAGGCGTGCATCAGCCAATCAGATTCCTCCGATCTGGTTTAAGAGTATTTATTGGGCTGATTAGAACTGAATGGCCGTATCTCCAGAGCTGTGCCAGCTGAATGTATTGATACTTTCATCCATCCGAGCTGGTCTTTACAATCTACTTAGGCTTTGATTGTTTTGGAAAGCCTAATTATATTGTAAAGACTAGGACATACAGGTCTGGCCACTTGTACATCATTCATGAATAAAACACGTTCACCCACGGCGGTGTATTGGATTTGCTTTTACACAATCCTCTGTAAACTCAAGAGTCTGTGTGTGCAAACCAGCAACATTATGGCCACTTTTAAAATTTAAGCTGTTACAAAAACATTTTGTCAGATTAAGTAAAAAAAAAAAACATGTTATGCACTGATGCCGGTCGAGCTGTTCTGCACAGATGATCGTTGACTTACATGCTCACAGCGCAAGTAGACCTCGTTCATGCCCTCTGGCCCGGGAATCAGCAACCTGATGCAAAACTTCTGCCCGGCAACACTCACATCCGGAGCCACCTCGCAGCCTGCGTCGAAGAAAGAGTTGTGCATCGTGTGTCTGTGCTGGGTTTACATTCATGCTTCCGGAGAGAGTGTGATCACCTTTAAGGCTCATCTGTTGAATGGGCTCTTTACAGCTCTCCTCTTTACTCTTGAAGTAGGAGATGGTCGTCTCCTTAAACGTAAACCAGTATTGTTTATACCCTTTCAGTGTCAGCCTCTTCGGTCTGAGAAAAGGTGAAAGCACATAGTCATAAGTAGTCACATAGTTTCAAAGCGGCTGGATTTCTATATTGTGGTATTTATCAATTGCTTGAGTCTCATGAGAAGTGAGGGATGTATGTGTGAGGGGAGCTGGGATTTGTGTCTTACCTGAATATTTTCAAGTAGTCGTGTAGTTCTGGAGCCGTCATTGTTTCCTGTGTGGACACTTGAGATGTTAGAGATGCCCACAGTTCATTTCAGATGAGCCCTAGTGTACCTGTAAGTGACTAGCACACCTACAGCAGTATATAAAGCCTACTGCATCATATTTGAGCCTCAAAGTGATGATACTGTATCTTTAAGGCCTCTATTATTATTGTTACAATTATCAGCACGATCAAAACTGCTGAAAAACCTGTTGTGAAAGGCCTTTTAGTATAACTGTAAACATGTCCACCTTAAGGTCATGGTGCACGTATAAAGCTGTCTTTGGAAGGACTGTGTATACGCCATGGAACTGACCAGCATGTCGTCCGCACTGCTCTCTCCTTCCATCTTCACCTCCAGACACTGTAGAGCTGAATCCAGATCTTCCATCGCTGGACAAGACGCCACGAACTGCTCCGTCAGAGACACTTTCCCAATGTGGTACTGATGTGATCACACACAGAGATCATAAAAACATAACTCTTCACTTGCGCTCCAGTTGTGTTAGACAGCGATACCTGTAAGGCAGCGAAGACCATCATCTCCTCCTCGGTGCATTCAGTCTCCTCCAGCAGGACAGCCCACCTCGCCTGCTCGTACAGCTGCGTCACACGCACCGCATCCGCCTGACACAGTCCAGGTTTCAATCAAATGCAAATAAAAGTATCACTATTTTTAACTGTGTGTAATACAATTCTCAATGCATTTTATGTAATGCATTTTTAAAAATGCTTTGGAAAAATTCATGATCATGTCTGAGTTAGAGGCATCATCAAAGTCTGACCAAATTACGTTAAAAGAAAGTACGTTTCTGCGACAATATTTTCATTGTTTTATTAAGTTTATACTTGTATATGTGACCATGGAGCACAAATCCAGTCATAAGGGTCAATTTTTTGAAATTGAGGTTTATACATCATCAATAAATGAGTTTTTCATTGATGTATGGTTTGTTAGAATAGCACAATATTTGCAACTATTTGAAAATCTGGAATCTGAGGGTGCAAAAAAATCTAAATATTGAGAAAATCATCTTTAAAGTTGTTCAAATGAAGTTCTTAGCAATGCATATTACTAATCAAAAATTAAGTTTTGATATATTTACGGTAGGACATTTACAAAATATCTTCATGGAACATGATCTTTACTTAATATCCTAATTATTTTTGGCATAAAAGGAAAATCTATAATTTTGACCCATACAATGTATTGTTGGCTATTGCTACAAATATACCCCAGCGACTTAACACTGCTTTTGTGCTGCAGGCTCACATTTACTAAAAACGGAAATCTCTGTTTTGTAACTGTGAAACATATCAAGAATAGAAGGTGTGTGCTGGATTGGGTAGGTGCAGCTTGAATATGGAAATAGTATTTACATTTAGAATGTCTCAGGTTAGGAATTATGGCAGAATAATCACATGATGGACGGCTGTGGGCAGTTCTGATGTGGTTTGGCGTCATACTGTACCCACCTGTGGCGCGATGTCATGAAAGGTGTAGTATTTGAAACGCAGTAGGAGTTTATCATGTTCTTTGACTCCCTGTTGTAGAAGAGAACGGGACGAATCCAGCCACCTGAGCACAGATCAGCACAGATTACCATTACGGCACATTCGCAATGGTTCATTTTCACATGCACCGTATGCAGTATTGCACTGAATTCAGTCATGCTGTATGGTGTTACCCCACCTGCTGTTAATGTGTGCTTTCTCCGTTATGTTAGTTGTGCGGTACAGTTTAGCGATGGTCTCTGGGGCCGGAGCAGGCTGACTGACCGCCAGCATCTTGTACACAGCCTCAGTTTCAGCCGCTTCAGCGAAGAACGCAGGCATGCCGTTAGCAAGCTTTGGGATGCTGCCTGCAAGTGCACAGATGAACAGATGTCTAAACATATATTACATATCAGAGCAGCTTTAGCTGACCTTTACTTGAGTGTGTAATAAATGAATATTTCTCTCTGTATTTCTTTATTGTGTGTAAGCATACTTTGACCTGGGTCTTATAGTTGTTGTGTCTTGTGTTTATGTGCATCCATGAATTGCTCACTTGAAGGAAGTGGTGCGCGTGTGATGTCATACAGCTCTTCCTCGACATCTTTCTCTTTCTTTCTCTTCTTCTCTTCCACTGGCCACAGCAGGGACAGTTCCTCTGGGTGGCGAATGTCTAAAGAAAGCAGAAGCAGCTGATGTTTGGAAAAGCTGCAGACACTGAGCAGTCCTGGTCATGAATGGTCTGTGTGTAGCTGGAATCTAAAAGCCCAGATCTGAGCTCATCACTCACTCAGGAGTCTGCAGATGCCGGTGACGGAGCGGAAGACGGGGCTGGAGAAGCAGGCTCTCAGGCGGAGGGTGATGCCGCTGGGAAGACGCAGCCGCAGGGGCTTGTGCTGAGATGTGAGGCAGAGCCGGGCATCCGCGTGAATCCCACATTTATCCAGCGTCCAGGACGGCTTCAGTAACCACTGCTGCTTCTGCTCCCACCACAGAGCGTGATCGGACCAGTCCCTCTGGATTTCTGCAGAAGAGAGGAAATTCTGTCAGCACCCATATGATTTGATTTATTTTTCTGTGGAACACAACGGAAGATGCTTTGAAGAATGTGCCAGAAAACGAGAGAATCACATTCGGTGATGATGTCAATATGTGCAAAAGTGACTGGGTTGTGGGAATTTTTATTATTTATATATTTATATAAAAACCATCACAGAGGTTTGGAACAAAATGTTATGTTTTGGCAAACTAGAATTAAACTCTAAGAAACTGAAAATCTGACTTAAATGTGAGCCTGGAGCACAAAAGCAGTGTTAAGTCGCTGGGGTGTATTTGTAGCAATAGCCAACAATACATTGTATGGGTCAAAATTATACATTTTTCTTTTATGCCAAAAATTATTAGGATATTAAGTAAAGATCATGTTCCATGAAGATAGTTTGTACATTTCCTACTGTAAATATATCAAAACTTAATTTGTGATTAGTAATATGCATTGCTAAGAACTTCATTTGAACAACTTTAAAGATGATTTTCTCAATATTTCGATTTTTTTGCACCCTCAGATTCCAGATTTTCAAATAGTTGTATCTCAACCAAATATTGTCCTATCCTAACAAACCATACATCAATGGAAAGCTATTTATTCAGCTTTCAGATGATGTATAAATCTCAATTTCCAAAAATTGACCCTTATGACTGGTTTTGAGACTGCAAAATTAACCTGCAGCATGAAGAAAACTGTTACAAAATGTATCTGATGCTTGACTTTGCTTTGAAATATTTGACACTTTCAGACTCAGTCTGAAATCATTAAAGCATAGGATTTAAAATCACAGACATCCACTCACGTGACTTTTCCACGACTTTGAGGATGACTCCGCCGATGTGTAGATCTGAGGTGACACTGATTTTAAGAGGCGGGGCCTGCGGTCCCAGTTCCTCCACAGCGACAGACAGGTCCCAGGCTGCCATTCTGATCTGAACAGAGATGCTGAGACGTCACGCTTCCACAGTCTCTGCTATTCCCTTTCTACAGTCTCATATCTACTCTGTTTAACCTGCTTTAGTCAGCACTATTACAGATGGGTGCCTGACAAATAACATGACATTACTTATTACTAATTACCTTTTAAATCCCTTATCAACACCAATCAGCTGAACAATACAAGAATAGACATGAAACGGGTCTGTTTCTTTCTTATAAATAACATAAAATTGCATCAATTATTCTTGAACTGACCAAAGTATATTTAAAGTTTACATTAAAACATACATTTGAACATTAACTGTTAAATCCACTATTGTTTTAAACAGATTTGTTTTATAGTCTGTTTTATACAGTAATGTAATTGTATCAGAAGTAACTAAGTAAATTACACTAATGAATTACTTAGTAATGCATTACAACAACATTGTGTGTGTGTGCGCGCACACACACTCTCTCACACACACACACAGCATATATGGTTTATGAGGACACAAATGTGTATGATGACATGGGTACTACAACATAAACATGGTTTATGAGGACACTTCCTGTGTCCCCGTAAAACAAAAGGCTTAAAAAACATACAAAACGGTGTTTTATGAAATTCAAAAATTGCCAGCAGTTTCCTGTGAGGGGTAGGTTTAGGGGTAGGGTTGGTGTAGGGCAATAGAAAATACAGTTTGTACAGTATAAAAACCATTACGCCTATGGAGAGTCCCCGTAAACCACAAATACAAGTATGTGTGTACACACATACACACACACTTACACTCACTCACTCACACACACACACACACACATATGTATATATATATATATATATATAGCTATTTAAATATAAACTATTTAAATCAAAATCTAATTTAAACTTTGCATAAGCCCCCCCCCCCCC